CACACACACACCACAAATACCCTCCCCCACACACCACACACACCACAAACACCCCACACACAAAGACACCACAAACACCCTCCCTCCCACACACCACAAACACCCATCCCCACACACCACACACACACACCATGAACACCCCCCCACACACCACAATTCCCCTCCCCCACCCACCCACACTCTTGCTGGGAGGTGCTTTTCATGGGCGATTTGGCCCCTGCTGGAGCCCTACCGATGATATTGAACATGCAGAGCGGGCAGGTGTGGTGCTGCTGCAGCCAGGGGTCGACACACTCTCTGTGGAACTCATGGGAACAGGAAATAATCCGCAGCTCCTAGACAGAGACAGAGAGGAGGTTTGAGTGGGCAGAGCAAGGTCCCTGGAGGGAGCTGGATTTGGGTGGGGAGATGTCTCTCTCCCTGCTCCATGGATCAGCCTTGATCCCGCACTCTGGGCGCTTCCCAATGTATAAAACAAGACCACCGAAGCACCTCTAATGCTGCGAGCTGGCTCTGAGCGTACCAGCCCATGCCTCTGCAGTGTCCAAGCTCTGGGGTCCGAGTGGGGCACACATTGCAAAGCCCTCTGGAGGAATGCCCTGTCAGCAGACCTCTGACACCGAGGGCTCCAACAAAGGCCCCAGTGCTGAGTGCAACTGGTGCAGCACCCCTTGGGGAGAGGCATTGCTCAGGGAACCAGGCCCCAACCCATTAGAAGCTTTCCCCACACCCACAGCTCTCCCTGCAAATGTCCTGGCAGCCAGGCCAGGCCATGGAGCTCTGGAGTCACCTGGTCCTGGAAAGATACAACTGATTCATAGATTCCAAGGCCAGAAGGGACCATTGTGATCATCTAGGCTCACCCCTCCACAAGACAGGCCAGAGAACTTCCCCACAAGAATTCCTAGAGCAGATCTTAGAGGAAAAACATCCCATCTTGATATAAAAATCATCAGCGATGGAGAATCCACCACAACTCTGGGTAAGTTGTTCCAGTGGTTCATTGCTCTCACTGTTAAAAATGCACGCCTTATTTCCAATCTAGCTTCAGGTCCCAGCCATTGGATGGTGTTACTTTTCTCTGTTAGATGAAGAGCCCCATATCAAATATTTGTTCCCTGTGATCAAGTCACCCCTTAACCTTCCCTGTGTTAACTGATTGCCAGCAGGGGAGCCACGCGCTGTGCCAGCATCATGTCTGAAGGATCCCAATGGCAGCGTGGTGCAGTGACAAAGGCCGGGATACCTGGATAGCAGCCAGGTTCACACACCCAGCGAGAGGATCACCTGAGCATCCTGGAGCAGCCTAGGACAGACCCCCAAAGGACGAAGGCCCATAGTCTCAAAGAGATTTAGGCACCTAATTCCTGATTTCAATGGGAGTTGGGTGCCTAAATCTCTGCGAGGCTCTGGGTTTAAAGCCCTCACAGACCCCCTCTCCCATGCTGGTGCAGTAGGCAGCAGTGCTGTGCTTGTGCTCCAAAGCCCTGCCCCACAGAGCACACTGCTCCTTTTGCCATTTACAGAGAGTCCTGCACAGCCCCCCTCCCAACGGCACCTCTGCCTAGAGAGTTCAGAGCCGTGATTGGCCAGACTCGCTATCTGGCTTCCAGCCTACACATACAGCTCGTCCTACCTGGCCCTCGCTGAACTCCTCCAGACAGATAGCGCAGACGGGGGCTGAGCTGCAGCTGCTGGCTGAATCCCTTAGGGCGGCCTGTCGGCACCGGGCCTGGTACTTCCGGATGGCCAATTGGCTGATCGCCTGCATGGTCTGCTGCTGCAAGGAGTCCTGGGAGAAAGGAAAAGAGAGCTAGACTGAAGAGAGGACTGGCCCCTCCTGCACAGCTAGGACAAAGAGACACATGTTCCACCAAATTGCCAGATGTGAAAAGCGAGGGCTCTCCTTTCACCAGCCACGCTGCAGCCTGCAGCACCAGGTCTCTGCACCCTACCTGGCAATAAAGGCAGCTGAGACAGACAAAGAGACCTGACAGTTATTCAAGGCAAACCATGCGGCAGCATGACCTAGTTGTCAGAGCAGGACACTGGCCTTCAGGAGACCTGGCTTCTATTCCCGACTCTCCCCTGACTTAGGTTGTGATCTGGGCCCAACCTTCCAAACACGCCCACTAATTCGGAGTCCCTGATGTGGCATGGCGCACACAACATGAGGTTGAAAATTCAGGCTTTAGCCTCTCTGGGACTCAGCTATATAATGGGAACAATGCTACTCCTCTTTGGGAAGGGGTTTGAAGTCCGCAGGTGAAAGGCCCTACATCAGTGAGCTGTACTGTTACGATTAATGTATTGATGAAAATGGGTTCTTTAGACACATAAGAATAAATACAGTGTCCACAGTTTCCACCAGCTGCAATAAAACAGTGAAGACTCTTAATCCTCACACAAAGGCCTAAGCTAATCACCTGCTCGACTCAAGAAGGAATTTGCCCCATGGCAAATTAGGGGCAATCTGAGATTTTACAAACTAGCCATTGAACCCTGAACTAGATGAGTCTGTGGCGACCCTTCTGCGAGCCAGGAAGACCGAATGATGCTTTGTCCCAGGGCTGGATTACCCAATAGGCAGACTAAGCACGTGCTTAGGGCACCAGCAAAACATGGGCCACCAAAAAAATGAGATTTAAAAAAAAAATTGATATTTGATATTTCAAAAAAAGCATCGAAATAGTCATCATGGGAAAAATCAGAACTTTGTTAGACTTTCTTGCACTCCACTACACACTCTTCCCCCGTTTCTCTGTTCTCTTTTTATTACTTATCCCCATCTAAACCAGGGGGGCGTCCTACTAACATAGATTGAAATAAAGCGAGGAAATCAGATCCTGTCATGTACTGCAATAAATGTATGTTTTATTATTGATATATTCTTCTGAGTTATACGTACTTGATTCGTTTTTTTCTTTCTTATATATATATTATATATATACATAAAAATAGTGTACGTTGTGTAATTTGTTTTTTTTTTAAGTTCAGATAACTGAGATAAGGGGCAGGATGAAACGTAACCAACTGAGTGGAGCACAGAAATGTAAACTGGTGGAAGAAAAGAAACAAAAAACTAGTGAAATTTTCCAAAATCTTCCAAAGCTGACATTTTTCAAAGTGAATCCATCAGAAGCAACATCTTCTCTCAGTAGCACAGACATCGTTCCAAAGCCTGTAGGCGTTTCAGAGACTGACCATTTTTCTATTGGTGAAACAAACACCATTCCAGAACATGTGGATGTGTCAGAGACTGTAACTGATCACCCTACTCCTGGTGGTAAAACAGACATTGTTCTAGAAGGTGTGGATGTGTCAGAGACTGAACCTGCTCATGCTGTAAATAATAGGAGAAAAGATCCTGGTATGTGGGTTGATTTCAGTACCGATGATGTAGCTTACTGGATAGATCGTGGACCAAATGACTGTCAACACCACACTGGGCCATTTGAGAAATCACGTCGGACTTTTACCAATGGCAAACAAACAAGATATTGTCCACAAAACATATTTTTCGGCATGAAAGCGAATGGTGAGAAATACACTCGAGAAAGGCTACTGTATCTACCATCAACAGGGTGAATGGTGTACTGTGTGCTGTTTCGTTTGCAAACTTTTTGCATATAAACCTTCAACATCCCCGTTTGCTGCAGATGGATTTAGTGACTGGCGGAATACTGTTTTAATTGAACAACATGAAAATAGCACTACTCACAGAGATTCAATGTTGACATATTCAAATCGAAGACAGGGCTTTGGATTGACACAAAAATTGGAAGAACAAATTAAAGGGGAGCGTGAATACTGGCAACATGTCTTGCAGCGTGTTATAGCTGTTATTCAAACATTAGCTGAACATGGTCTGCCTTTCCGGGGGATCAAATGACACATTTGGATCATTGCAGAATGGAAATTTCTTGGGATTGTTGGAGCTTGTGGCTCAGTTTGACTCATTTTTAGCAGGCCATATCTCAAAATATGGGAATGCTGGCAAAGGTAACCCATCATACTTATCCAAGACAATATGTGATGAACTCATTGGTCTAATGAGTGACAAAGTTCGTGCAGCTATTGTGGATGAAATAAGTACTGCTGGGTACTTCAGTTTATCTGTTGACCCTACACCTGATCTTTCACATATTGATCAATTGAGTATTGTACTAAGATATGTGTCTCCCACAGATGGAAAACCAGTTGAACGATTTATAACATTCCTCAATTTGAAAAGCCACACTGGTGAAGAAATGGCAAATCAAGTACTGCATTATCTGTGCCAAGTTTGCAAAATAGATTTCTCAAAGTGCAGAGATCAATCTTATGACAACTCTGCCAACATGTCAGGGCGTTATCAAGGAATGCAGAAGAAGCTTTTAGAACAGAACAAATATGCCATATTCATACCATATGCCATATTCATAATCATCTAACATTGATGATTACTAACTGCTCCGCAGAACGCTCTTTTTCTCAGCTGAAAAGAATATAAAACCCTCGGAGAACAACAATGTGTCAGGACAGACTTGATTCACTTTCCCTATTGTGTATGGAAGCGGACATGCTTCGTCGAGTCAGCTTCGATGAACTTATCCAGAATTTTGCAATCAGAAAATCTAGAAAGAAGCTATTTTAATTTCAGCATAAATGTAAGTTTTGTGTCATTTTGAAAAATAAAAATTTATTTTATGGTATAGTATTGTTTTTATTTTGAATTACATATGGGGGGGGCACCATAATCTTTTCAGTGCTTAGGGCCTCTAAAGGTCTTAATCTGGCCCTGCTTTGTCCTCTCTGTTGAGTACAAGTGTTGGGCTATTGGCCCCTTACTGAAACGTTAGTGGTTTTTTGGTTGGCTCCCTAGCAAGGAGAAAGGGGACGGGCTGAAGAGGAGTCAGGATCCTGGGACTGACAGGTCCCCAGGGCCAATGGGGAGAGGCCAGCACTCCAAGTCAGCAGTTGAGAGCCCAGGGCCCATGTTCTCTGTGAGCTGGAGCTGCCAGGGCAGAGCTGGGGAGCCAGAGCAGCAGCCGGAGCGAAGCCCCAGAGCGATAGTGGTGGGGTGAGTCTCCCACTGTCACAGCAGGGTCCTGTGCATCAGTCTAGGCCCTAGGGAGAGAACAAGATACGGGCCCCTTCCAAAAGTCCACCGGGAGGCCATTGAGCACCGGAGCCAGAGGGGGACATGGCTGGCTGGGAGGGCACTAAGTGCCAGCCCTAGAGGGGGACATGGCCTGGGAGGAGGCCGAAGCAAAGGTGCAGAATGGGTTCTGTCACACCGAGTCCAGTCCCGTCTGGGGGCAGTGCCACACCGGACTCATAAATTTGTTGCACTTTAGAGGCTGCTGCACTGAACTGTACCCAAACCAGTTCCCCACCGTGCTGACACTGTGAAGGGCTCTTCGATGCCCAAGGAACAGTTTTGGGTGCACAAATGTTTAAGTGGATTGCAGGTTAAAAGGGTAACACGTGCGGTAGGTGTGTCCAGGCGTAGGGGCGCCTCTTCCCTCCTTAGAGTTGCCCATGAAGAGACTGAGGTGAACACCCAGGAACCCCTGGTCTCAGTCCTCCCTGTGTGATGCGAGTCCTGTTCACACAGGGCCAGGAGGGAAGTGCAGGTGGGCAGAACCGGGGTGAAGTGAATCAGGGCGAAGTGAATCAGGGCAGGGACTCAGATCCTTTCATCACTCGGTTCAGCCAGGGTACTGTGGACATAGAGAAACTCCCCTACTAGGGTCGGACAAATCCCCTGCTTACACAAGGTTGATGAACAGTCAAGATTCAGATAAGTAGCTTTTGAGACATGTGACTTGGAAAAAACAGGACTCCATTTGAGTGCAAGGGTCCCTGTGACCGCACCCCAATGCAGAATTGATGGTGAAGTGTGAACATCTTAACTATGGAAAGATCATCTCACTTATACAGCCTGGGGAGGGAATATCACAAAAGTCTGTGACACAAAACGAAAAACTGCCTGTGATGATGTAACTATAGATTGTTTCATAAAACACATGCACAAGGGGCAGATTTACGGTTGCACACAAAACTTTATTTCTGGCAGTCCCTAACATAATTTTTGCATAGAATTTTCGAAGTCGTTTCTTTGTTTGTTTGTTTAGAAAACTGAAAAAGTAAAGACTGCCTTCATCAGCAACTGTAACGACCTCCCACATGGGCCATCGGGGGATCTGGAACTCAGAAACTCCAGCTCCATACCACACTACAGCACACTCCTCTCCCGTTTGAGTGAAATGGGTTTCCAGGAGCTCTGCACCAGCCATCAAAGCAGGTCACAACACACACTTTGCTTGTGGGTTACCCAACTACAGTAACTCCTCACCTAAAGTCATCCCGGTTAACGTTGTTTCGTTGCTGATCAATTAGGGAACATGCTCGTTCAAAGTTGTGTAATGCTCCCTTATAACATCGTCTGGCAGCCGCCTGCTTTGTCCACTGCTTGCAGGAAGAGCAGCCGTTGGAGCTAGCTGGTGGGGGCTTGGAACCAGGGTGGACCGGCAGCCCCCCATCAGCTCCCTGCTCCCCTAAGTTCCCTGTGCGGCAGCTGCCCAGCAGGCTAGCAATTGCCGGCAGTTCAGCTGTCCCTCCCCCCACTGCCATGTGCTGCTCTTGCCCTCTGCCTTGGAGCTGCTCCCAGGAGCCTCCTGCTTGCTGTGCGGGGGAGGGGGGCTAATGTCAGGGTGTCCCCCTCCCCCCTGCTCCTGCCCCCCACTTACCCCATCTCCATAGAGCAGGGGGGATGACACGACAGGGCTCAGGACAGAGGGAGCTTGC